TACTATTTTATTTGACCATTAAAAAAAATATTATTCCTAATACATTTTGTATAATAAATTAAATGTTTTGCCAACCGACAAAATGGCTTCACAGCTGAGCTTCACTTGTTACAATGTAAATTGTATAGGAGTTCCTTATCTAGTGTATAGAATTATGTGGAAAAATCGAAACCCCGGTGTCTCGGACAGTCGTGGTTATCACTATACTTTATCCGTCGACATTGGAATGATACCACAGAATATACAGATAACACCAAGGTGGATTGATATCAATCCACCTTGGATAACACATTTTATTATCTTTGGGCCGAACTCGCTCGACAAAATATCACGTAATCGTGTTAAGCATTACTGACTGAAAGATATTGAACTTGGCCGCCGGACACTGTGGCCAGCGCTACTTCGGCCTCTGTGGCCGGTGGCAGTGGTTATATCCAAATGCCGTTTTTCGTGGTGCCGTGGCCGTTTTTAGTGGTCGGTTACCCCACAAATGATTTTAGGTTAACAGGGGCCCATACTACTCATGGCGGCGTCGGCGAAGACGGCGGCGGCGGCGGCGGTATTGTACTGCACGATGGTGGTATGCGTTCCACCAGAACGTGATGGCTGCGAAGAGTTAGCCGACTAGGACCCTGGTACTCAATACAATATTTTGAAAACTGAAATTCACTATACCTATTTATAACCATTTTTAAAATATATATTATAGACAACATTATAGACATATTATTATCAATGATAATAGTAATAATAATAATATCATCAAAATAAAAAAGGTGCTCTGCTGTACAGGTTACTAGTGGCTCACCGTATAATGGATGGTATTAAATTTGAATTCAATGATATAATATCATTGTATAAGAAAAACAATGTCTATATATTTTTCTATGAATGTCAATAACATTTTATCCATCCAAAAAGCTTGAAAAGTTAATACAAGGTTCTTAATGTATACGCATGACAGTTGAAAACTATTGAATAAACAGTCACAATTTTTTTTTTCTAATTGTTTGAAGTTCGAATTTTGACAAAATATTTACATAAATCTACGAAATGTACAAATTATTTTGAGTAAGAAATTCATAAACATTTTTCTCTTTAAATTTAAGATTTTGAAATTTAATTCAATATTCATCATAAGTTTTAGCTTTAGCTTTAGCTTTAGTTAGCTCACTAGCTTCATCAAAAAAAATGCCCACCTGAAAGTCAAATTAAATTTTCATGAACGTCTGAAGTTCAAATTTTTACAAGATTGAATATTTATTTGAGTTCTCATGTAGCGATTTTCTTATTTTGCCGTAATTAAAAAATGAATAACTGTAGATACTTGAAATTTTCAAAATATGTTTATTTTATAAATATTTCGACACATTTTGACCTGCTTCTGGACATTATCAATTTTTTGGTTTTTTTTTTCTGGTGTATTTAATTTATGGTTTCAGGGGATTTTCAGTGGCATACCCTGCGATCCCCCTGGCTACACCTATGGTGTTAAATTATTAATTAATGACGTTTTCTTTCAATTCAAATTGTAGATTCATCTTGTTGGCTTTTTTTTATATTGTTATGTATAATATGTTTAATACCAATTACCTATTTCCTAAAATTTATTATTTGAAGTGTGATTAAGTGGCACTATATTTGAATAGCTTATATACAGAAATAAAATTAATGATTTCACTTTATATTATAATACATTATAATATATGTATATTAATATATGTAGTATAGGTGTAAATATATTTTTTTTTTTTTTTTTTTTTTTTTATTAAATGAGCCACAACAACATAGATTATTGGCTGTTATTAAATTTTACATAGAAAGATAAAACGGAGGGACAGTTATATAATTCAAGTATGGGGCGCGAATGCGTATTTAGATTAAATTATATAATTTAGTTAGTTTTAAAAAAGTAAATATCTTTTGGATGTTGTCCGGATCCGGACCGAGTGCTTCATAAAGATTGTCAGCTAGTTTGAGGTTGACTCTGACGTCGTTGTGTTCTAGACAGGAGCATATGATGTGCTTGACTGTAGGTGTTACGCCGCAGGAGAGACATGGTTCGGGATTCGTTTTGGTCATTAAGTGTTTGTGGGTTAACCATGTGTGACCTATTCGAAGTCTATTAAGAATTACTTCATGGCGCCGGGGAAGTGGAATGGTTGGCCATGGGAGAATGCTTGGTTTGATTTCATTTAGCTTAGTACGTAGAGTTGACCAGGTGTGTTGCCAATTTTTTAGAATGTAATCGGCGATGAAATGTTTTGAGTCTTGTCAGTGTTGTAAAGTATTTGAGTAAAAGTATTTGAGTAAAAGTATTCAAATACTTTTTTCCGTATTGAATACTTTTTCAAATACTTTTATTTTTGAAGTATTTGAACGGTATTTTAAATACATTTTTTTACTATTGAATACTATTTTATTGAATACTTTTTTTATTCCTTCAACTTTTTATTCATTGTCAAATAATAATAAAGTCTTAATAATATTATAATATATATTTATCATTTATGAACAATTCTATATTGGTTTTAGTTTTCGTCTATTAATAGCTAATTAATATTAGTTACTCTGAGAAACCGTCTGTTTATCGTCGACACTCGACGACGATTGGAACGGTACGTTTCGGTACCTACTACCTACCAATATAGTATATTATCATAGCGAAATATAATACGAACATTAGGTAGGTAAGGTATGTCGTATACGTACGTATTTTTTTGTTTTGTATTTGAAAATTATTTCAAATACTTCTAAAAAGTATTTGAGTAATACTCAAATACTTTACAATAGATAGTATTTGGGTGGTATTTTAAATATTTTATTTTATAAGTATTTGAGTAATTACTCAAATACTTTTTAAAAGTATTTTTTACAACACTGAGTCTTGTAATGTGTGTGATCAGAGGATTATAGAGTGTGGAGATGAGATGGACTGTTTGGCGTATGTGTCAGCTAACTCATTTCCGGGGATGCCAATATGACTTGGTATCCATATCAAAGAGATAGTCTGTGCGTTGGTTTGAAGAAACGATATCTGGTTCTGGATTTTTTGTGATATGCTATTAGGTTGGTAGTGGTTTTGGATGCTTTTGAGTGTGCTAAGGGAATCGCTTAGTATGATAGATTTGTTTATTGAGTCTTGTTTTATAATGTCTAGTGCATGGGAGATAGCCAAGGCTTCGGCTGTGTAGATTGAACAATAGTCAGGGAGCTTGAGCATTCGTCTGGTTTCACAGAATGTAACTGCAGCGCCTACGCCGGCTTCTGTTTTGGATCCATCCGTGAAAAAGAGAATATGGTCTTGGTATCCTTCGAGAATTGATTGTAGTTCACTTTTATATATGTTCGGCGTGGTTTCGCTTTTCGGAAGGTAAGACAACTTGAGATTGATATCGATGTCCATAGTCCAGGGGGAAGTAACCGGACATTCGTGTTTGATTATGTCACAGTATTTGAAATTGGAGCCTTGAAGTTCGGTTCTGATGCCGTGATGGATGTCAAGGTTGTTCTGGGCTCGTCTTGCAGATAAAAGCATGATGTTTTTTTTTCTTATGAGACTTAGGGGTGGAGTAAAAGAGATGTTGAGCAAACTGGGAATTGGGCTCGATCGGAATGCTCCAGAGGCTAGTCTTAGTCCTAGGTTGTGTACGGTGTCAATCATTTTTAGACTAGATGGTTTAGAATTGAAAAAGAGGAAGGAACCGTATTCTAGCTTGGATAGGATGAGTGATGTGTATATCTGTTTAAGGGTTGTGGAGTTTGCTCCCCAAGAAGTGTGAGCGAGAGTTTTGAGAATATTCATTCTTAACATGGTTGCTTTTCGGAGATCTTTAAGGTGAGGGTTCCAGGTATTTTTGCGGTCGAATGTGATTCCTAGTATTTTTATTGATTTTGTGGTTTGTATTGAGGTGTTGTACATTCTAATATCTAGAGACTGGTATTTTTTAGTTCGAGTAAATATGACGCTCTGAGATTTAGCTGGGGAAAAACGGTATCCTGATGTCTCGGACCATGCAGCTAGTGATAGTATTGTGTCTTGTAGATATGGTTGTATGATGGATGAATTTTTTGCGGAACACCAAATGTTTAGGTCGTCTGCAAAGAGAGAAGATTTTACGGGGAATTTGATTCTTTCGCAAAGGTCGTTGATGGCTACAAGGAATAAGGTGACTGAGAGAGTGGAACCTTGGGGTACGCCATTTTCTTGATTGAAGGTTGAAGAGAGATGACCGTTAATTTTGACTTGGAAAGATCTGTCTTCCAGGAAATGTTTGATGAAGAGAAGTAGGTTGCCGTTACATAAGATTTTTTGTAGTTGTTCGATTATCCGGGGGCGCCACGTGGTGTCATATGCTTTTGCTATGTCAAGAGCGACAAGTCCCAAGGCTTGGTTGGTTTCAAGGGACTTAGATATGTCTTTTTGAATATCGTGTAGGCTGTTGTATGTGCTCCTGTGTTTACGAAAACCATTTTGTTGAGGAGAGAGATAGCTTATTTTTTCGAGGAACCATCTAAGACGTGAATCAATGATTTTTTCAAGTATTTTGCACAATGTGTTAAGGAGAGATATTGGTCTATATCCCTCTGTACTGAATTTGTCCTTCCCTGGTTTTAAAATCGGGATGACAATGGCATGTTTCCAAGATTTTGGGATTTGTCCGGTATTCCATATTTTGTTGTAAAGGTGGAGGATGAACTGAGTTGCTGATGAGGGTAAGTTGTGTAAGAAGCTGTATGGAATTTCATCAGGGCCTGGAGAGAGGCTAGAACATTTAGAAAGGGCCCAGCTTAGCTCCCTTGCGCTAATGGGGATATTTAGGTGATGTTGATCCTGATTTAATGGGCAGAAGTTGGGTTGGAGCAAATGGTGTCTACTGGTAAGGTTATTATTTAGAAATGATTCATCATAGTTGTTGTCAGAACTGTTCAAGTAGAAATGGTTACCAAGAAGATTAGCAACCTCGACTGGATCGGTGAGAAGGGTGTTATCATTTATTATGTGGGTCTGTTTTCCTCTGCTGTTGCCGCGTAAAGATCTAATTTTGCTCCATACAGAACTGGGATCGCTTTTGGGACCTATGGTAGAAGTGAAAATCTTCCACGAGGATGCTTTACTGTGTTTTACGAGGTATTTTGTTTTTGCGCGAAGTTCCTTTAGGCGTATATGGTCCTCGGTTTTGCCCGTTTTTTGGAACCGTTTTAATGCGATATTCTTTTCCTTGATAGACAGCTTGATTTGGGGGTTCCACCATGGAACTTTATTGTTGTTTGAGGTGCCATTTGTTTTACCAATTGCTGTGTCTGCTGCACTAGTAATGGAATTGGTTATGTGGACAACGTCATTTTCAATCGGACCATTTGGTGGAGGGAGGTTAGGTTAGGTTAAATATATTTTAGCAGCTTTTAAATTTAGATAGGTCAGACAAGTGAAGCAGTCTGTGCTGAAGTGACAGTAGAATTTTACTAAATTATAACACCGCCACTCGAGTGAACAAATAAGCTAGGATACTCTTGGATACTTGGATAATTTAGATACACAGTTGTGGTAATAGAAATATTTTGATTATGAATATCGATATTTATATCACCACAAATGATAGAGCGGTGAGATTTATTAATACTATTTAAGTACATTTCTAACCCCTACATAAAAATACCATTATTATCATTTGGAAACCTGTAAATACAAGTAATTATACAATTATTGCTGAAATATTTAAATGATAGTTCAATTGAATTGCAATTTGATATAACATTTTCTTTTATATTAGTCAATTGAATAGATTCTTTAATTAATATAGTAACTATAGTAAGAAAATATAGTAAAATATATGGTGTTAAAATTATATATATATATATATGACCTATAAATCATAATTAATTTGTTAAACATGAATAAATGCGTATTGATATAGACATTTAAATAAGTATTAATAATAATTAAAATTGTTTTTGATGTTTAAAAGCATTAATTGTGACTAATATTTAAATGGTAGGTATTTACAATTAAAATAACTACATTTTCTTTAAATGTGATAGAACAAATACGATTATATTATAGGTATATTAATTTAAAATTTATGTTCCTTATACGACAATGATATGTTGAACAATATTGTATGTTGTGAAAATATTTTTTATTTTTATCCTAAATTAATAATTAATGTTTATAATAGTACATGAAATATAATGTATTAAGTTATTTTGAAATTACCTAATATTATTATATATTTTTTTGTTGTGTTTATTTAACATTTTTACTGAATAAACACAAAAGGTTAGCTATTTTTTTGTATTCATAGGCTAAAGTAGAATAAGACTTATAATTCATATTAAAAACATGACACATTAGTACAATTCAAAAAGATTAGATTAGAGGATGATTATTGATTAATACATTTTAAAAACTTATAATTCTTAAAAACTGTGAATATTGTTTTTCAACATTAATACATTATAAATAAATATATCAATGTTTCAATGTTTTATACAAGGATATATTTTTTAAACATTCATAGAAATGACATCCTGACATTAAATTAATAGTTTTTTAAACTTTCATGTAATGTTAAACCATTAATATAAATACTGAACTATTAAGTTTTTAAGGATACATTTAATGTTTAAAATTACAAAATGTTTATTGGGGGGTGACATAGATACCTGTAATATTTGTAGGATGATGATAAATTAGCAATAAACAATTTAACTAAGTGTTCTTTTAATATTTTTAACATAACATAATAAAGAACTGAACAACTTCAAAGCATACTACAAAGCATACTTATAACATGAGTGACTGTGTGAGTATATGACAATTGACAAAATATTTTAAGGTTATATCTAAGGTCATGGAACAAACACTACAGATACCTATGCACTCACGCAATAAGTAACGATAAGTAAAGACCCACTTTTTCGTACAGGCAGATAACTTTAGACGTACACAAATAATATGATCACAAATTTCCGATAAGTAACTCATTATTAATTATAAATCATATCTTGATTCTTGTTGCATAATTCATTTTTTTAATTTAATGAATACCCTATTGATTAAAATTCGTCTAAGAATTTAATTTTTAATTTTTCCCTTGACCAATTTATCATTTGTTTCGAATTTCCCAAAAATATTTAAGCTGTATCATTTAAAAATATTAATGAACATTTATTGTACTTACAAATTTTATCGAAATTTAAAAATTTATTTTATACAATCAAAAACGTAATTTATTAAATATTAAATATAGACTCATAATTCATTTTAAAATATTTATTAAAAACATGACACATAGGTAAAATTAAAAAAGGTTACATTAAAGGCTGATTATTAATTTAAAAAAACTGTAAATATTGTTTTTCAACAATAATACATTATAAATAAATACATCAATGATTTATACGAGATTATTTTTAAAATGTATCAACCATTTCTGAAAAGTGATTTATGTTGATTTTTGGAATTAATTGGGAATTACTTAGTTGCAAATCAGCCATTTCAGGTATCAAAAATACTTTTTTCTGCATCATTGTGACATTATTGCTGTTATCACAAAATATTCTGGCAAGCTTCACTTTTCTGATTTCTGTCAGTTGATCTTAAATATTAAAATAATATAGTTAAAATCAGGATCATTCATAAAAAATAATTCAGATATACTAACATTCATTGAATATATTTGGTAAATCATAAAAATATCTATCTACCATTCTAGTTCTTATAGACTGTAATGATACATCTCATTGTTGGCTCAACCATTGAGTCGTCTTCTTGTTTCTCAAACAATGCACCTACAAATAGCTCAATATCTCTTCAATGGTTGTATTGCTTCAATAGTCTATCAGTTGACTAAATATTATAATATACGATTTTGATATTAGACTGAATTGACCTATTATCAAACTTTTGGGTAAACAGTACACTTTTGAAACTAGTGAACCAAAATTTGCCATGTCCTTTGTGTGTAAGATGGAGACAATACATGTGGGTACCACGCCCTCTTAAATAATAAATTCAAGTGCACAATAAATAAATAAAAAAACGAGTTTGAAGTTTTCAAAAAGGAAAAAATTAAAAATATAATATTGTTGAAATCCATTTAGTGGCATTGCATAATCAATCATATTACGTTATACTTAATTTATCAAACGACTACTTATTGATTATGATGTAAGTATGTAACGTTCAAATCATGGATCGGAGTGAAGTGTGAACACATTTATTTCCAATTACAAACAATATTGAAAATGGTTATCAACCGCCCGTCCAATCCCTTTAAGTCAAACCGAATGGGTAAGGGTATTTAACTCCGTGATGACGTTTTTGAATAGGGCTGTCGATATCAGTTATTTATGGTAGATTTAATGGCAACGTATTTCATTATTGTGTCAACGTGGCATGGCAGTAACTAATAACTACATACTGTATACCTATCCAGTAACAGTTGAAATATTTTGTAATGTGGCCCTGTGGCGGGGGAGGGGTGATTTGGGTGTGGCCGACATGCACTATTTGATTGATAAAAAGTTCATGGGGGAGATCTATCCTCCTCCCCCCCCAGCCCCACATGGTTTTACGGTAACTATTCAATATTACTTAGGAGTTAGGTACCTGTTATAGAAATTGAAAGAAACCATAATTTGTATTCATCTTATCTTCAATACGAGAGTTTTTTAAAATTTGCCATCACATTATCTTTTAGCATAAAATGTTGGTATATAAATAAAACACCAGGGATCGAAAACCTATATAAGTCTTTATATACTATTATAGACTATACAACTCTATAATTCTACAGTACCTACCTAGTACCACTGTTGTCTGTTAAAATCACGAACTATTTTGTTTATACCTACATCATAAAACTATCACTTAGGCCGTAGGTATAACTGTATTAGGCATAATTATTTATACTATTATGACTACAATACATGGAATGATTTAGTTTGAAATTTTGTACTTTGAATTATATAAAATTATTTAGATTTATCGTTATTGAAATATACAATAGTAATAATTTCACCAGTGTATGAATAATACAGTTTTAACAAAGTTCAATGCCGATGTAGGTACATAATAATATAATTAGGAGTTAGGATCATCCAAAATTGTTAAAATTGTACATACCTACCAACATATTATATATGTGATAAGTAGTATGTACTTAAATTTCTCAGTAAAAATGCTTCTTCAGAGTTCAGTTGTATTATACTTCGTGGATAATTCAAATTCGTTGAGTACAAACTTGATATAAAATACAAAGATGTCAAAGGAGGAAATTATTGACTATATGTGAAACGTCTACTTTATTGAACTGATTTCAATTGTAAATTGTAACATAACGAAAAAATTACAAATTACAAATGCCTTTACTAAATAGCTTCAAATTATTAGCGAGAAGAGTAGAAATTGTTATTTTAATATATCCAATGTCATCAAAATTGAACTTCGATTAGTCATAACAAATGTTTATGTGCTAGTTACCTGCTGAACCACCCCACCCATCTATAAGGATTAAGGCCTTTGTACGCGAAACTACTTGGTACAACCATGATAGAGAGATCAAAATGTTATAATAATTTAACGGAAACTTTATCGTAACGTAACGCAACGTTTGAATTTTATAGATAGCTTGAATATAGTTAGAGAATCAGGAAGTCACTTAGCGTTTTTTAAAAAGTTGACTGCCATGAGTACCCTATCTGGTACTAACATATGGTTTGTCTCCTGCACCACAGTATTTTTATAGAGCTATTCTCATACGCTATGAGTACCAATCCTGGAAATCACACACCATTTGACACGTTATAACCGTTTGACCTTGATAACTAATAGTTTTTTTTCGCGATTTCATCACTGAGTACCATTATTGGTCCTCAATAAACCAGAAAACATAAAACCCTACTAGCCAATCTGAGTGGGTACCATATTTGGTACTCATGGCGTATGAGGATAGCTCTATAAAAATACTGTGGCGGTCAACTTGTTATGGCGTTTAACTTATAAACAATTTCAACTTTCATGTAATTGCATAGTCTCATGTCATATTATACCCCTATTAGATGTAGAGTAATTTTACCAAATTATGTAAGACATTAATTGTTAAAAATTCAAAACATTTCGACGCAGGCCAGGTATTCTTATTTTGACATATGGTTTTATTTTAAATTTCTTACAAATAAAATATTACAACATTTTTGGGGCATTTTTATCGGTTTTTGCTACGTTAAGTACCTATTTATACTATTTTGTGATAGATATTTAATTTTCTAAATTGATTTTTTTTTTTTATATAACAATTATAGATTTTTAATACATATTATATCAAAAATGCATAGGATTTTCAAAATATTATTAACTTTCATTTTTAGAATAGGTATTTTCCCTTTATAATTTATCTAACATATATAACTTATCTAAACCATTTTTTTTCTTAAAAGATATCGACAATTATCTTAAGACTTAGGTTAGTAATATTATAGTTTTTAAAATAGGTAGGTATACATATAGATTATTTTATGTGATAGTTCATCATATTATAGATAACATTTCTTATGTATGGATTATGTATTATGAATAAGTACCATATACAATTTATTGTAGTTGTATCTATTGGTGCCCTAGAAATCAGAGGGTAATCACAGCCGAAGGATCACTCGATAATGTCCGAGAACAGTAGTTTACCCTTGTTACGTCGTTAGTAGGCAAATGTTCATGCATGCTTGGTTTGGTGTTGGATAGGAAATCTTTAATCCACGATGACGCAAAGGATTTGGAGGTTCAACTTTACAATAGGGAAACAGGATATAGGTACAGACTATCTTATTGGGGCCTTGCGGTCGATTCGGTCTGGTGCAATGACCACAAGGTACAAAATATACAATAATTGGGGGTGGACTTAAAATTAACTTAAATATAAGGCAGGTGAAACTACGAGTAGCTTGGCGGTGAGTGACGTAACTGGACGACCGTGGAGGCCTCTCACACAACACGGAGGGTGAAGGTGGACTTATGTGGAACAGGCAGACACCACATCGACGTTGAGCTAGAACTGATATCCACAACGAGAACCAGCACTCAACTCAATGTCGACGGCAGCGGCTCAAAGCTCAATTTGTTGCCAATAATTTATTTTGTTGCTGCTGTACTAGTGCGCGACGAAGACACAATAAAACTTTGGTTTCGTGGTGTATTGGCGACGAGGATGAGTTCACAAAAAACCAAATTAATATGGTAGATGCGACTGCAGTTATAGAGAACCAAAAAACAACAACAAAAAAAACAATAATAATAATAAGGGCGTTGGCCGCAACAAGTGATTCGAATAAATAATATACAATACGCAAAGATAATCCACAAAACAAAGATAATAAATATTTTAATACAAAAATAATAGTAGTATAGATAGTGAGAATTGACTTTCTAATGAGATTTATCCATACACAGTTTGGTGTGTGAAGACTGTGTAGTGTAGTGGGAGGGTCAGTTCAAGTCATCGGGCTGATTGTCATATCACAGGGTCATTTAATTAGGTAATTGGCTCGAACAACATTTTTTTTTGTTTCTGTTATAAATATGTGATTATACCAAATTTCTTTAAAATTTCCCAATCAGAAGTCCACGGAGTATAATAAGTATTGAGTACGATGTTCACATTATCTTTTTTTTTTGAAACATATTTTATTTACGAACACAACAAATATTATAATCTTACAGTTGAGAATATCTAATTAGATAAAGCGATTTTATAGCTTCAAATTACAAATAGGCCACCACCCACAAGCCCGTCAAATCCGTGTAGTCCATTGGAGCATGAATTTACGGTGACGCAAACGGGGTTGATGGAAGGGGAGCCATCACCGCTGAAACAACAACCCCATCGGCAGACCATGGGCTCAATCGATTTTTGGGGTTAATACTTCATAAATCGCATTGAGTGTTGAGCGGAGAGGCTGGAGCATGTACGAACCTATAGTAACTTATGGCAACCGTCGCCGAGCAACAGCTTATTTTTTTACCGTAATAAAAATATTTACACCGCCGAGGCACAGAAACAGTAACGATAACTTAAAGTGCTATTCAATCACAGCGATGATGTTTTAAGGATGATTGTAAATTTAATAGTTTCGAGATACTGAACATATTTTCAACGACTTTTACAAGTATAATCCCACGCGAAGTACCTACCTATACTCATAATAAGTGTATTCAGATTCAATCACGCAATTTGTTCACAAAACATTCTCATTCGTACTTTCAAAGGTTTCAATGCATTTGTGTATTAAAGTTTTATCTGGGGGTAATAGATAAACATTTTTATCGAGAGACAAAAAAATATCACCATATCACCCTTTTGATCAGCGTGATGTCAGAAGTATTGAAGCAGTTGATACAAGGAAGAATTCTATCTCAGTACCTAATATATGCATTCTTTTAAAACAAAAAAGTTGGTTTCGACCAAATTAGTGAGGAATTTGATCACAGTTGAATACTTTAAGATCACTGACATATAAGTTACATATTTACCTACTTAATTTTTGATGAGATTTTGTCAATATCTTTGTAGTATTTAAAAAAAGGTCCTACTGAGCTTTTAGTTGTTTAGAATCATTACAATGTCCACCTTTGGAGTTATATACTAAACACAGATGTTGACTATCTAATTATTGTCAAAAATAATTTTTACAACAAAGCATTTAATTTAAATTTC